CCAGGCGGGTCTCGAATCCGCGGGCTCAGGCAATTCACTCACCTCGGCCTCCCAAAGTGCTGGGATTATAGGCTGAGCCACCAAGCCTGGCAGGAAGTAGATTTCAGAAGCAACAAGATATTTACACTTAGACATAAGCTATGTTAAACAAGACTCAGGAGCATATGTCCCTGGAGCCATTTTATACAAAGCCAGGACCAAGCTAGACCCACTGCTGGCCCAGTGCCTGAAATCCAATGGGCAGATGTCACAGTGGTGAGCTATAATTGTGCCACTGTACCCTAGCCTGGGTGACAGAGTGAGACCCCCAACTCAAAAAAATAAAATAAAAAATGTAAGTGCTCAGTTACCCCCAAGGCTGAGCATTATAGACCACAATGGCGGCTGTAACAATAACAGCTGGCACTTGGTAAGCTGCCAGGCACAGCTGTCAACATTTCACATGTATTAACACCTTGAATTCTCCCAACCACCCAATGAGGCATACACTACAACACACCCAGGTTACAGATGAGAAAAACAGAAACGTTTAATAAAAAAAGGTGCTTTGTCAAAGCTGGCTACAGTGGCCCTCGCCTGTAATCCTATCAATTTAGGAGGCTGAGGTGGGAGGATCACTTGAGTCCAGGAGTTCAAGACCAGCCTGAGCAATGTCTTATTTTTTTAAAATTGCCCTCTTAAGCCCTGAGTAACAAGAAATAAAAATAATTTTTAAAAATCTCTGCAGAGTTTCCACACTTGCTTGATGAGCAAAAGTCTAGCAACAAGGACCCCCACAGCATGCCACGAAATGAGAGCCAGGAAGGACAAAGGCAAGAGCTCTGTATCACACACTCTGTGCTATACGCTCCTTTTGTATGAGACCTGGAGAATCGGAATACACATATTTGCTTTAATTTGCCAAAAGAAAAATCGAAAAGATAAACCAAAATCACAGATCAACCATTACCTCACAAGATAAGCCTTCTGAACCTACAGTGTTAACAGTTTTTTCACTTTGGAAGCAGGTAAATCTTTTCCTATTGAAAAGATACAACCAAATCAAAAGAAAAATGTACAGTTCCTAAAAATTCAAAATAAATGGAAACAAATGAGCTGATATCAAAATGGTGGCAGAATCATATAGGAAAAAAATTCTTTTGAGTAGGTTTTTTTTTTTTAAAAAGGAAACAAAAGGCAAAACTACATGTTCTCAATGGAAGGGATACATTTTAAGGACAAACAGCTGCAGAGGAATCTTAAATTTTCAGTCTACATTTTATTATTTGTGGTAATATAAGGTGTTTATTCTAAAACTATTTTAAAGTAAATCAAGTAAGTAATTACAATAGTGATATTATAAACCGAGATATTCATAGTAACAGAAAAGATACATGTTAAAAAAGAAAAAGTACAAACCCAATAAGGTTAAATTAGAATTGGAAATACCAGTGTGCGGTTATGGGGTTGTTATTGTGACTGTGATTTCAAAAATGTTTTTTCTTAGCTCTGTTCACTAAAAGGTCCAAAAGCAATGAACAGGCCGGCCCCCACACAGCATGCTTCACCGTCAGAAGTACCCAGGGCATCTCAGAGGAACAGCCAATTCTGGGCCCAAATGCCAGCCAATTACAAAAGAAGAAAAGGGTCCTATAGAGGACGCAAGAACAACAAGGATGGTGCTTGGGAACTGCCAATGGAGAATGGGACCATCTAAGCATTGAAATGAATGACTGAAATGGA